TGTATCAGAAACATGGATGAAGTAAAAAAAAAATAATAGTAACTTTTTATTTCTGTCCTTTAAATGCATTAAATGTTAACAGTCCTCTTCCAGTACCTGAGTTTAAATTAGCCTGACTTACCCATCGTGTACACCACACAGATTTTTAAGCTTCACCATGTTTCTGGAGGCCCTGCTATTAATAACTGCACTATTTACAATGTTCTCCATTTTTAAGAAAGGTTGGGAATAGATAGTGAGCCGTAAATGGCTCACAGAGACTCTGGCGAGCAGGTAGGCTCTGATTCAACAGTTACAGAAGGCCCACAGAGGCTGGACAAACAGGAGAGAAGGACAGGACAGTCTGACAGAAAACAAATAATCAGAATCTACAAGCAAGTTAAAAAGAATCTTAACTGGTTTTAAAAAAGTGTGATTTGGTAGCACGGCTCACAAGATATTCATTTTTAGCCTTAACGTGCAATCAAGTGTGTATGCATTTGCCTCCTCTTAAATGAATTATCATTTGACTTGCTTGTTGTTTTTCCTCTTTTGGATTTTGGTTTGCGTGTCACTTCGATTTTTTCTGACACCAAAGGCACAGCCTACACTCCCTGTTTTTATTTATTTATTTATTTAGGTTTTGTTTTCTTGTTCATTTCAAGTTTGAGTTGATTTGCCACTGATCCAGAGATTCACCCATTCAGGTAAACGTTTCTAGTGTTTCAATTAGGCTTTACTTTAAATAGCCACGGCTTCTGGTGATCCTCGACCTCACTTTCGACATCTCTGCAGGGTTTAATCGCCACAGGTTGTGAAAGCTGGAATTTTTCAGATGTAAGCGTGTATCGGGACATTCACGGGTAGACTAAGCTTTCATGGTTTGTTCTTCATGATGAGCTAATGTTAGTTTAGTATTTATTTGGTCAGGGTGAATCCAAGCTCATATTTTGGTATTTGTTGGAAGTAAAGTTTCAAAGCAAAAGTACTATAAAATCTAAATAAGGTTCCTGTATGAGTTTATCATTGTATGTGTTCCAAAAACTTTTGAATACAGGAAACCCTCAGCATGAATAATTTCTTTTTGGAAGAAATGGCTCATTACTTCCAGGAAAAAAAAAACAAAACTTGCTAATATGGCACATTTTAGCTCATTAAGTTTAAATCAAACATTTTTTTCTAACAAATACAATTTATGGTGCATTTTATATTATATATTGTAGAAGCTTTAAAGTTTTTTGAGTTCATTGTATGGATCTTTTGACTGTTCTTTTTTTTGTTTATACACATTGGATGACATTATTACTAGTGTTTCTAAGGTAAAATGTCACCAAAATGCAGATACATGTCCAGATCAAAGTGAATTGATAAATCAGATGCATTTTTTAGTAAAAATCTATAGCTGAACATCTTCAGCTACCAATTGTGTATTGCTTTTTTCCCACACTGATTTGTAGCTCAAGATTACAATTTTAAGACTGCAGTGTTTGAAGTCTACCATCTCATATTATCCCCCATGCAAGTTTGAGCAAAAMAAAAAAAAAAAAAAAAAAARAAARAAAAAAAAARAAAATCACTTTAATTAGTCAAAAAATGTTGTAACCTCACTGCTGGTACAGTCACTGCGCTCCATTGTTTCTATGACAATGACTGCTCCATCAGAGCCGTGGATTCTTAGCTCTCACTGCACTGTTGGAGTGGAAATGATTGAATCAAAGGGTTCTGAGAAGCTCTAATCCCAGCGGAGGAATTGCTTTGATTGGGTCAGGGTAGCAATTAGGCAAAGGTGAACGTATGTTTGGTCAATATATCAGTCACACAGAGTCACTGTGGCATCTGTAAAAAATTGTTCTGATGCTGTATTACTTTTTTGAAATGGATTGTTTACGTGTAATTTCTAAAAGCAAAGTGAAAGCTTTACTTTTGAAAGTAACTGTTCCTTTAGGCTTTAAGATTTAGATACTCAGCATCTGATATTTTACCAACATTTGTCCTACTAATACAGCCTTCTAACTCTCAGAAAATAATAAGTGTGCACTTCAAATAATAATTAGTCAGCAGGTTTGTGTTCCTTTAAAGAGGGAGTGTTTGGAGGAAACCGGCTGCTCTTCGTTTACTCAAGCCCAGTTTATAAAACACTGTTTTGAAGTGAAACCGTAGCCTTTCTGCTGTGGTTCAGTTTTATGTGTATATGACAAAAGCACTTGTTATCTCTACAACCAAAGATTTTTAAGTATAGGTCTCAGAGCGGAAGTTTTTGCAAACCCCTTGTGGAGGCCTGAAATCACACATATACACTACAGACGGCTGCAGTCGGTAGTTTTTCTGCGCTTGTGTAAGTAGATGAACAACGGTAACATTGGTGAAAAGGAAAGGGCTGTTTGTGCTACTTACTGTTTTCATGTACTGTAGGCGCAAACCAACCTCATTCTAGGTTCAAATGAAGGGTTTGTGTATTCACTATTTTAAATGTAACTGTCTTGTAGTAAGTAAAAAGTTACCTGGTATCAGGGTCCCCAGATATACGATAGTTGTGGATTAAGTTGAAGCCACGTCTTTATCAATTTTTGTTCACCAACCACAACACACAGCTTATGCTGCCATCTTTAATAGTGTCACTATGGTCTCAGACAGCTTGACATACTTCATAAATTACTCACCTGAAAGGTGTTTTTATCAGTCTGTCTGTCCATCCATCCATCCATCCATCCATCCATCCATCCATCCATCCATCCATCCATTCATCCATCCATCCATCTTCCCTTTTATCTGAGTTTTTGTGAAATATTGTTTTAAGGTTAATGTGAATTTTAAAAAAAATAACTTGCATGTAATTTTGGGAATAAAAGTATCTTTAAAAGCAAATAGCAAGCAAAATCTTAGTCCATACCGTCAAATACTGTTGTTTCACTGGAGGGAGCATGCCGTATTTTTTTATGATAGAAGATCGAAGTGTCCACTCCAAGATTAGTATTTTATTTTAGCACAAGAATCTTTTTTACACATATTTTCAGAAGATGTTTTCATTGCAGTCTCAGAATTGTTCCTCGTACCAAGATGGGGTTGGATTATTGCCCTCACTCGTGTGTAGGAACTGTGCTAACTTGTTCTAGTAAAGAGAGCATGGAGCCAAAAAAAGTGTGTATTTACTGGTTAGTCTACTTTCATTCCCTACTTGTGCTTACAAGCTCTGGGTTGTGACTGAAAGTGAGTGATTTCATTTGCAAATGTCAGAAATAAGCTCCCTCTGAGGGGTGTTTGTCCGGACTTCAGGTGAAGAGCTCATTCATTTCTGGGCTTCTCTGTGTTAAATTTAGCCACTTGAAATGGACTGACAGGGAGGGTTTCCCAGGACAGACTTAAGACACACTAAGCTGTCTTAGGGTAGTACCTGAGATGTGTATGTTGGCAACTATTTGGCAAACAGCATTCACAAGCAGTGTTTTCCCTACCATCATCCAATGAAAACCCTCCCCGCCCTGTCAACCGAACCGAGCGCCCTGCCCAAGAAAATTGACTCAACCCCCCGCCGCTGAAAGCTCTGTTACTTTCAGATGGGGAGCAGAGATTGTAGCGACAGGATGAATAAGCATTAGTAATGTAGCTCTCTGCTGCACCCCCGCCCCACAGACAGTGTTATCTTTCAGAGTCCCAAGCCTTTTTATAATTAGTAAATACATTTTTATAGTGAATAAAGATTGAGGAGAGGACAAACTTCAGTAGGTTGAGTAGTTTTTGTCAGATAACCCATTTATTCAATTCAATTCAGTTTATTTATAGAGCGCCAAGTCACAACATACATTGTCTCAGGGTACTGTACATGAAAAAAAGAGCAATCTAAAGAAGATTTATGACAACAACATAACAAATCCCCTGAAATTCTTTTCAGGCTTTTGGTTTTGGTGCCACCCCTGGATTTTTTCTGCTTCATACATGTAACCAAAACATCTCTTCTGTGAGCTAGGCGAACAAAAACCCCAAGAACTCTCCATTATGAGGGGCATGCATTTAATCTGCATGTGAATCTAGGTTATATAACAAAGTATCTCATGCAGGTTAAAAAGCTTGAAATTCCACTCTCTCCTTTTTTTTAAACTATCACCTGTGTTTATGTGAACATTACAGCTCAAGCATTTATATATAGTTATTTTCTACTACACCATTATGGCCAAACTTAACACAACATACTTTTCTAAACGTTTCTAAACTTTTACCTAGATCTCACACATAAAGGTCACTTTCTTATGACCAAAGTTTCAGCCAATACCAACTAATATTTACCTGTTTGCTCTTTCTAATGTAACCCAACTCCACCTTAAGATCTTTTATTTCATAACACGTTACAAATGCACATTCATGTGCCATTAATTTGCAGTTAATCGTGGCTAACATGTATCCAAGCAGAAACTTTCAGTATGTACAAGCAGAAATGCACACATTAAATATAAACACCTCATGGCCACAAGGGCAACCCGCTAACAGCCGCTAACACAAACACGAGATAATTTTAGCTGAGTATGAAATGGCAGTTCATGTTTTTAAATACAAACTCAGGGTCATGAACTGTTGTATAAAAGGCCATCACAGTTATGAGCCTGAGCTGCTCGGCTTTAAATATCCCCTGGGATCTAACTTCAGACCTGGAGACATGCCCACAGGGTATTTTTGGTTGAGTGTTTACAGGTGTTTGTTTCGTAGCAGCAATGCCAAGAGGTTAGTGGGAAACCCACTTTTGAACTTTGGGCGCATAAAAGTTGTTGAATTTTATATTTAATTTGACCCAAGTTGGACAGACTGTTGTCCTTAAATCATTCTACTCTAAGTGCAACTTCTACTGCAGTTATGATAACAATGATCACATCTCAGTAAATTGTTTAAATAATCACACTAAATTAAGGGTTAGGTTCAGGGTTACTTTCTAACCCTCTCATAATGTTTAACACTTTTTCTCTAGTAAACGAGTCAAACCATCTTTTTGATTTTCCACTATTTTTCACTTTCTTTCATATCTCCCTCCTCAGGTTGTGCTAGGTCCTTTCTGCACTGAAGCCGATCCAACCTGAGAACGTTCCTGAGGGATCCCAAAAACGCAAACCATGGCTGTAGCTGGTTGTCCGGATTATTTTCTACACCATCCAAACTATCAGGTAAATGGTGACTTCTTTGTCTGTCGTTTCTTCTTCATTTATTTTTTCAGTACAGTTTTATAAACTCAACAGATAATTAATGGCAGTTATTGGGGAAAAAAGGGCAAAAATAGGTCAAAGTAATCTGCTGATTTCTAGAACATTCTCAGAGTTAGAGTTATTGCATATTTAACAAAGTTATTTTTAATGTTTTATTGGACAACTCAGTACTCCATTGCGTTGGAAACACAACAGTCACAAAGTATTATACTAGCAGGGCAGGGTTTAATCAGTTCAATGAAGAATAGAAAGACATTTGAAATGATAAGATTGAACAAACTCCTCCCCCAAACACTTTCCAGGACTCAGCAGTCCAGCTATATCTAAAGATTAAAGGAGAGTACGGTATTCATTCAAGTATAATACATAAAATTGAATCCATAAAATCATCCATAAAGTTGGGGGGTAGTATTATACTTGGATAATTATTTTTACTTATGTATTTTAACTGAAGTATCGGCTTCATTCACAAAATGAGTGAGTCTGGAAATGAGACCACGACGTAAAAAAACAGTTGAAGCAAGCTTACCTGTGACACTACTTCATGCTTCAGAGCCAGATAATAACAGATCCAAGCAGGCGACATGCTGTGAAAAAAAGTGGGGGAAAGCAGTCCTGCACCTTAGTAATGACATTAGCGTGTGACCGGGCTGCTCCTCGAACAACAACAAACACACGTTCGTCTGTAATGGCTGCCGTCTACTGGTGTTCTGAAAAATTTTGTATCCCTGAAAAAAAATTCCCCACCAGAGGGGGCGCTCGTGAGTAGGAAGTAATCTGCTTTTCCCCCAGAAGATGGCCCAAATCTCATGTGAAGTCTCTGACTTTTGTGTTGGCGCATCCTGGTGGACTATGTGTAAAATGCCAGAATCCATATGATGCTCAAAATCATAGTTTGCTGATATATGTTGTCAAAATAACTTTTAGTACCTACTGCATGTTGTTAAAATAAAATGAACAGTTCAATGATCATTTTACTTATATGTATAAACACTGCAAAGGCTGAAAAATCTTGAAGTCTGTATGAAATTGGAGGTAGTTTGACGATTAAAATTTTTATGCTTTTTAAGCTAAAAGGGGGGGGGTGTCGTATTATACATGAGATCGTATTATACATGAATAAATATGGGAGTTTAAGGTTAGAAACACAGGAAAGGCTTGTATTGACATATTTTTAATGTGATTAAGTTTGAATATATTACTTTGGATTTTGAAACAGGGTTTTGTAAGTTGTATACGTAAACAAATACATTGTTTGGTTTTTGGATTTTTTTTTTATAACAGCCTCTGCAGGGCAAGGAGTGCCCATTAGGTTTACAACAGTAGCCAAAATCCAATCAGTAGCTTGTCTGCCATCTGCAGCTCATCTACTGTAGGTCCTGACTTTATCTGTGCCCTTTGAACCTAACATGAGGTTAGAGAGTTCATTCTTAATGAGATAGTTTAGGTTTTATCTCTACACCTCGGAGATAGAATTCAAGGTTCCACTTTAGGCCATGTTTGTATTTTTTATGTGCAATTTATGATCCTAAACATGTTTGTGCAAGAGTTGAGTTGGGTTGAGCAAGGACATTTTCTAGCCAGAGACTCAATAAGAGCTCCAGGAGATTGCCAAACAAGACATTGTGTTAAATCTTGTTCTTTTTAAGTGATGCATGGAAAATGGGGGAAAAAACGATAACTTTTGTTGCTAGGGCAAATTTCAAGCAAGGGTGCCCAAATTAGCACCTTATTCAACAATATGGTTGTTTTAAAATAATTTAAGCAGTTTAAATGTATGTGTGCACTTTGTTTCTGTTCCACTTAAAGCAGGGTGTAAAACTTATTTTTATTGTGGGTCAAATAAGCATTTTTGCCCTCAAAGTGCCAGTTTTAATTAAGTTTGACTTTTCATGTTTAACTTCGACTAAACAAAAAATGTCACATTTCTTGTCTCATTGCTACAGCTGAGCATTGTTAACAAACACTAACTGAGCTCTTTGTGGTATTTTGTGCATAGAAACTGTTTTAACAAGTCATCTTTTAAACAATGAAAAGTACTACATTGGCAACTGACTAAATGTAAAATAAATATTACAGAAATACTATTCAAAGCAAAAGTAAGAGTTTTACTCACTCACTGTGTCTCAATTCATGGGTTGCAGCCCATTTAGATCACGGCCCACATTGGCCACACCCTGTGTGGGGAGTAGGCTGCTTGTGTAGGCTGCATAGGTGGCTGTAAGATGAGATGGTCTAGTCTACGGAAGACGTATGTTTGCGTGACCACAAGCTGCACCGTTACCACAGCGAAGCATTTAATGTTACATCTCTTGAGCTGTTCCTCACAAAATTCAGCATTAATACTTGTACTTGTAACTGCATTTTATTTAACATCTCATTGCAGCAAACATTTCTTAAACCAAGTTTCTAAGCTTACATTTAAAACAAATTCTTCAATCTGTGCTAAATTTCCAAACTCTGGCCGTAAAAAAAAATTGTGCCATAAAATTAAAAATATAAATAAATAAAAAACTACCTTTGCTGTCTTTGTTTTTTTCTGTTTAGTTTGCTGACAGCGCAATAAATCCTTGGATATTGTTGGCCTTGTAGCTAGTGTACTCAGATGCAGCCTACGTTTTTTTTTTTATCGGCCGCATTTGTTGGCTGCATGAGTAGACGCCTACGAATTGGGACAGCTTACTTCGTGAGGCAGTGACGTAAGTGGCCGACAAATGTGCTCTATGTTGGCTGCAAGCCCTGAATTGTGACATATTTCTGCTGTTGAGTTTTAGTGAGTAGCTGCCATCTTAAATTCTGAACTTTCCCACTTTCCGACAGGGAATTCTAACTGGAGGTGCGTTCCAGTTTAAATTTACACCTTATAAGTGGGAAATTCCCACTTCCTCATACAATTGGGCCACATCAAAAGTAGCCAGTGACAGTGCAGCAAAATGGAGATTTTTACATGGTGAATTTCGCTGGCTGCTGGCTGCTAGCTACGTTTGAATCTTGTGCACCGCCACCTAGTGGTGGGATGCCATTATTTCACAGGTTAATAATCAACATGCAATAAAGTAAATGTATTTTATGGTCAATGCTGGCTTTAAAGCAGCATGGTTTAAGACTTTAATACATTTTTGAAGCTCTCTTCTGGACCACATAAAATGCTGCTACATTTGGCCCTAGGGCTTTGAGTTTGACATGTGACTTTCTGTCATTTAGATTAGATTTTTTAATTTTATTTTTGTAAGTTCACAGATTTTAATGTTTTATTTACTGGGGACTTAAAAATTAAAATTCTGGAACAGCATTAGGAATCACATTTTTTAAATAGCTTTGCCAACAGTTTGGATGGATGCTGGAACTACAGTGTACGGACAGCAATGTACACAGACAAACATGCACAGCAGTCCACATGCACAGGGACACACTCGGTCGGCTGTATGCAAACCATTCAGCTATAACAGATGTACCTTGACTTGCTGAATGAGAAAACCTATTCACTGTGAAATTCCAGGGTTCTGGAAGATTTTCTTCTCCCAGATAAAGCTGCAGCTGCAATACAAGACAGATTCAAGGGAAGATAACATTCTTATTAAACCAAGAGGATTGTTTAACTACTTCTTTTTCTTATTTATAATCTTGACATGTGAATATTCAATGTGCAGATCGAGTCAAATTTGGTGATGTTAAAGATGATTGTTAGTGATGGAGCGGTTAACCCAGAAATATGAAAATGTGATACTCTTTGCTCAAGTTTTATAAACAGCTGTGTAAGATGAACTATAATTATTTATGCTGTCAGCAAGATATGCATTTTATTACAGGGAGAGTTTTTGGGAAATCTGTTAATTTGTGTTCAGTTTACTTCTAAGACTTATATTCAGAATAAAAGTTTTTTTTCGGGGCCCTGTACAAAAACATTCATGTAGATTACGAAATACCAATTATTAAACGTTATCTATCTAAGGAAGCCAGTAGATTGCATCAAATCTCAACTTTGTTGCAATCTACCATTTTTTGAGCAGCACATTTGTAACAGTGGAAAGGAGAAACTTCCTTTTAACAAGAAAAAACATCAACCAGAACCAGGCTCAGAATGGGCAGCAAACTGCTTCGACTGGCTGGGGTCAGAAAGGATGTGAAAGAGACACGGACACACACAGAATACTGTAACTGGTCCAGGTGTGTTTCTATGCAGAGAGGAAAAAAAAACATTTTATTGATGGAAATAATCACAAATACAAACCTGGAGAGTAGAACAAGGACAGCAGTAGAGTGAGGAAATGTGGTCAATTTGTCCTCAGCTCATTCAGGAGATGGGGTCTACGACTTTTTTTTTGTAACTTTTCTACCTTTTGAAATATTTTACTTTTTCACAAATATTTTCCTCAAATAAAGACACTGAAATGTGGATATTTTAGCCACTATTCTGCTACTTTTAGCTAGATTTCTTTTGCTACTGTTAACTATTGTTTTGCTGGTTTTAGCTAGCTTTTTTACTTCTAGTTATCCTTCACCTATTTTTTATGTAATTGTTTGCTGTTTCAACAAGTATTTTGCATTTTTTAGATTTTATTAAGCTGTTTGCTAAATTTAGCTTCTGGTAATTGTTTTGCTGTTAGTTGTATTGATAAATTTTTGCTACTTTCAGCTTCTAGGTAGAAAGATCACTCCTAAATGATTGTAATTATACTATAAATTATATTATTATAAATTATAAGTCACAAAAACAAAAAGAAGTCTGGATGAAATAACCTTATTTCCAAAACTGCCAGTTAACCAGTACTAAACAATGGGCCTCATGCAAGAAGATGTTCGTATTCTTATCCTAAATTTCTCTTACATTTGTTCGTATGAAGGGTTCGTACGAACATGTCATTCAGATTCAACAAACTCTTCTATCTTCAGGAAAAGTGTGTAAATGAGCTTTGTAAACATGATGAATTACACCTGTTCGTATCCAGCTGCTCATGCACGCGGAGAGGTAATTTACCTAATTACCACCCCAAAAACACCATATAAGGATATACGTTTCCTGCCCCACATACCAGGAAGTGTCCATTCATGAATGTCATCGCAAAGTAAAAAAAAGAAATTTACGAGTTCGGAGATTGAAGTCCTGCTCTCGGAGATCCACAAAAAATAAAAATAAAAAAGGATCTGCTTTAAAGCCGAGGAATGAAATGACTGCTGTTAATGTCGTGTCTCCCATGGGTCGTACAGTCGCAGAAATAAAAATCTAAATCCTATTTATCTCTCTCTGTAGTCCTGCTCCGTATTTTCTTTGGTCAAATATTTTTAATTTCAGTGTAAACAACTGTGTTGCATGTTTCACTTAAAAAAATGTTTTCAAAATGTGTCAAAACTTCAGTTAACTTCATATTAATATTGTAGTGCTATACAACAAAATTAATAGCCAGTTTATTTTAGTTTCACCAATTTATGTCATTAGTTACATTTAAAATTATATTCTAATTCAAACAGAATAGCCTCTTGTCAACATAACGAAACATTTATGGAGTGTGATTTATTTTCATCTCGAAATATCTTCAAACTACTGAAATATAAAGTTATTAGTGAAGAAAATCCGTCTGGATAACAGCAGACTTACTGCTCATAAAATATACGACAGGTCTGGACCACTCGTGAATTTTGTTCGTATCTGAAGAAAATCTTAGGATACGAAAACATTGGTGAATGCCACAAATTCTCCTAAATCACTCCTAGGCACAACTTAAGAACAAATCTGTTCGTACGAACGGTTCTTACATGAGCCCAATGTTCTTACAGCCAGAGCCAACACATAAGTTGAGTTTGAAGCATTGTTATGAAACCATTTCAGCTGTTCCTTTTTAGCACAAACCCCCTCAGTAAGTTTAGTTTGGAGCTACATTCAAACCCCGGTCATAAATTTACCCCCTAGTCGGACCCCTCCTGAAGGCGTAATTTTACCACCACCTCCACCTTTTCACCCCTTTTGTTTGCAGCTCCACCTCCACCACCTTGTGCCTGCTCTGTGTTCAGGGCTTTAACCTTGTCCCTGACCTTCCCCTGACCCCTTTTAAAGGCTGGACCTTCGGCCCTTTGACTCCTGTTAAGAGCTCCTTTCAACTTCAGCTGTATGAAGTGACCCCTATAAGCTGCTTGTCAAAACGTGGCCTACCCTCTGTCCCATGGACCCCTTTTTACAAATTTAAGCATCACATGTGTGCGTTGGTGTGAGTGTGTGTGCTTTTATCTCTGTATGTTAAACGGTGTGAATGTGATGGAGATGTAGGGCATTAAAATGCAAGGGCAAAGGTTATCTGTGTATTGTTCCTGCAGATGATAGAGATGACAGCTTTTATGTGTTGTCTTAAATGCTCTTGTTGGTATGTTTTAATAAGTTCTTAAGGTCTCTGTTTGCATTTGTACATTTTAATTTGTTTAAATTCCATTTAGCTATTAAAACAAAATCAATAGGTCATGTATAAAGAGTTTTGCTTTTTGCTCACTGAAGCTAAATCATGACTAAACTGTTCCAGCTAAACACTGAGGCTAACTTACCGCAATATCATCCCACAACCTGAACAGTGATGTACCTCGTTAGGGCGCTGGGCTCGGATCACCTCTGGTAGGTGGAGCTGTAAAAGTGTGTGTTGATGGGGTTTCCACTGACTTAGGAACAAGTGGAATTGCAGATGTTTTTATTCAAAGGCAAGCAGCTTTGAAAGAAGCTAAAATTCATATTTCAGTTTGTAAAGATGTAAAATAAATTGGGTATTTATCCCAAAAATAAGCGTTAAAAGATGGTGGACAGCGCTATGGAGACTGCAAGCTTTCATGTGGCCCTCCGTTTAATTTAAAAAATGTAACTAGTGTTCATCACAGAGGAAGAGTGTTTCTCTGAATACCAAATCTAAACCATCTACACAAGGAAATAAAAAAACACTATAGCTTTTACTTATGATGCCTTTGGTGATTTCTGTCCATCTTCTGGCTTAATAAGGACATAAAAGTTCTGCAGGTTTTACCACTATGTACATCCTTCTCAGACAGAGACAACTCAGATTGTTAAGAAATCCCACATAGCAAAATCGTTCTGGTCCACACAATGCACTCACTCAGCCCAGATACAGCAAAGGATGACGGCCCTTTGTTGGCTTGGATGTGGTTTCCCAGAGGTGGTCCATGCATGGGCCAGAACCACAAAAACTAAAGCACAACTGGGTCAGTGGTGGCATGCCATCTTAAAAACAGCACCATTATTTCCAGACCTGGTCCACAGAACATCCACTTGACAAACCACTTGTCACGCCAACAGTCGGCCACCAGTGCTAGCTTGACACCAAATCTGGCCCACACCTGCCTGCTATGTGGGATGTATGGTAAATGCAACCCTGGGCACATCCCAAAGGAATGGTATGGTCTGATTGCTGAGCTCACAAAGGCAGAAGGGACTGTCCAACTTGGATACAAAGAGTTTGCAAGAGGAAAATAAAGATCAATGCCAACAAGTGGGGGAGAATTGTAGATAGCAGTGTCTCACTGGTCTGCGAATAGTGGGAACTAGTTGGAAACACCAAATTGCAGAGCAAACAAACAACAACCTTATTTTTGTTTGGAATCCCACTGAATTGGTAACCTTTACGTGAACCCCCTTGCAAATTTGGGCCAAAATGTGCCTGATTACTGAAGGGTTGGCAAGCTGGATTCCAGACACCCACAAGTGAGTTTTTGACTACGTGGAGAGAACCATCTTGCAACCTTTTTCTACATGTTCTGGCAATATGTGAACGAGGTCCTTAGAGTCACGCAAGGAAACAGTCAACCCTCTAGAATGACATTCTTAAAACTCGGATGTGAATGCTTGATGCAGTTGCAGCCCAGTGAGATAACAGTTAACAGAGCCTCCTGGAGACAAGGTCACCAAGCAGGTCAAAAAGAAGGCCAGAGCTGCTTCCACCTCGACTCCAACACACGAATCGTTCCTGTGCAGTTCACGAAGGAGAGCCATTTGATGAAGTGGATTGTACGAATCTGCCACCCACATGCATGCATGTGCGCTACTCCATCATTTTTAGAGACACAGAATGCCTCTTTAACTTTTATGTTGGCAAATTGCTATATCAAAGTTAAATTATACCTGCTAAACAACAACAACAACAGTAACTGGACTTCTTTTCTATAGTTAAAGATGTTTTGTTTCCATAAATGAGAATTTCCACCAACATTTCTACATTCGGCCTTAATCTTTACAGCCACTCAGTTTGCTCTACAGTGACTCTAAAGTTACCTCATAGCTTGAACACTTTCTGATTCTATGATTGAATATATCTTGATAATCAGTTTTACACTGAAATCATAATTTTATTGAACAGTGTGCTGGAAGAATACACCTATTTGATCAGTTACTTGTTTGCATCATTACGGCAGGGAAGCACAACAAAGCACAAGGACTGCTCATTCAAATGGTGATAGATTTTGTTCTGTGGCTTATTAAACAAACCCCGGGACAGTTTAAATTGTCCAAAGTACAAATACAGAACTGCACAATATGAGCCAGAGTCATCATAATTTAATCACTGTAGCCCACTATCTGTGAAAGCAATAAACCTTGTATGGCAAAAAGCTTCAATCTTTAAAAAAAAATGGGTGGAATACTGACTTACAGTGAGGAGAAAAAAAAGAAAGCGCTTGTGTAATAAAATCCAAATTGCCTGCATTGTCTGTCACTGCTCTAAATGGGGCAGAACAAGTAACCACAGCTGCTTTTATTACAGCATCAGAGGAGGTCTGATGTGCATGACACACTCAGAGATGTTTTTGTACACCCCAGAACTTTGTGTTCCCACTTTAGCTGTACTGGACNCACACACACACACACACACACAGTAATTTCTCATCTTCAGTAGACGTGAGTGCCAGACAGGAATCGATGTCAAATTAGTTTTTGTGGAATTTCTTTTCTTCCGTAACTCATCTTTTGGATGGAATGTGTTGAAACAGAACAAAAGGTTTACACAAACACGCTGCGGTTACGAGATAACTTAGCTGTTTTGATCTGATGTACAAATGATCTATGTTCACTTACTGGAATGTACCACCACTTAGCATTTGTAGCTCAGTTTGTTAGAAACTTTAGCAATTTTTTTTTTTTAATTTTCAGATTTTTTTAAATGCTTTACCATTTGTCTGTTTCAACATATTTTATGGATTTAGTTGCCATTTTAGTGCAACATTGATCATGTTGAAATATTCACACAAAATTTGCTTCCTAAACAGTTGTCATTTCAGCCACTGTTAGTGGTGTATTGTTTTTGTTCTCCAACAGTTTTTAGAATATGTCACAAATGTTTTTTAAATGATTTTTCTCTTTACTCTTTATTTCAGCAGGACAACATAGACTGCTCCTCCAATCACAGACAGCCTGACCTTATTCATCCAAGCTTCCAGCCACCAACCAGTCAAAGTTCTCCGAACCATCAAGGTTTGTGAATACACATTTTTAGCTGTTGTAGACAAAAATATGTGGTAGTATTTGTATATTATTTGTGTCCAGTAAGTTTTTTATATAACTACAACGTCTACACCAGGCTTTTAGGTAGGTTTTTAGGAGGTCCACACAAGATGATGAAATTTACATAGGTAAAAAAAAAGGCGGGACCAAAGATTGTGAAAACAACACAACAGCTATCAAAGCTGTTAAATCATTACTGACTTCCTCTATCCAAGCCAGTACAATTTATTCTTTATGCCTTCCTCTGTTTCATAAAATAATTGTGGTCACCCCCTCCGATGCTTATGTAGTTCATAGACATTACCAAAATGTATGTAGATTAAAAAAAAAAAACTACAACAACCTCTTACCAGACCTAAATTGGCACAGTGCTTTGAGGGCATCCTGAGCCAGCTGAAAGACACCCCTCTTGTCTGATCTGCATCTTAAGAACCCTTAGATACATCTGTTAAAATACAGTATATGATTTTTTTCATTGTTTTTGATTTGAATGTTTTTTTTTTCATGTGTAATATACATGATAAAATCTACCACTATGTACGCATCATTTACTACCAATAGTCTACCGCATTTCATAAAATAAATGAGCATAATCAACAAAATTGTGTTTTGTTGCCAACAATGATGAGTCGTTTGTTTACATTCAAACATTGAGGAGTACACTTTGGACAGTCTTTGTGCGTGGCAGATTTTGACTGAATTTTTACAGATTTTTACTGACATGCACAGCAAAGAACTGTGTCTTGCAGGCAATACAGCCCGCATTGTGTGACTGGTCAGAACTTTGTGGCTGTATTTGTTTATGCCGTGCACTTTTCTTCTGCGTGTCATTTTACTAAATGTTTTTGATGATGTAAAAATTGTGTCCGAAGCACAAAATTTCAAATCAAGAACACATATTACTTATTTATTTTGTTGGCAGCCATTATGGCTTTAACTGATTTTCCCACATAAAAAGAAGGCTGTTGCCAAAAATGGTCTGCGGTTCATTATCCTCCACTGTAATGGCAGGGGTGGGCTCAGTGCTGCGATCTATATTTGGGTGTCTTTCACTGTAAACATTTCAGCTGTTCAAAGGGTGATCCGCACGGACACAGGGTGCCAGTATAATTACTCCGTCTATCTAATTGTGCCAAACAAAGTTCATCCATGACAATCGGAGCATGAGATTTAAGCACAATATTGGCTCAGCGTGAGCGGTAAAATGGGTGAGGAGTCTGTGAGGACTCGAGCCGTGAGTGAGAACGCTCCATCGTGGCATGGGGAATAACTGGAGCAGAAATTACATTGTCATTTTTCAGGATCAGACAGAATGGAGGGAACACAGAGCCAATGGAGTACAGATGACTGTATTTGAGCAATATTTTTGTTTACAAAAAGATGTTTCAGTTGAAGATCCAGGGATTTTTATTGTTGCTTTTTTGTCTTCTTGCAGTAGATTATGCCAGGCATGTGTTATAGGTGTGGTTATTTAATCTTATTTGGTTTTAAATGCAACAAGTAATGAGTGACAATCAGAGGTTGACTGACTAACCCGAATTTTTTTTTTAAATCTGAGCAACTGATATTTGAATATAAACCATTTATTTATACATACCTTATAATCTATATATAATAAACATTTATTATTGTTCATATGTACATGGCAATTAGCTTTAACAGAAGGGTTTGCCTGTGATTCAGTAATGAAGTAATGTCTAAAAATGATTTTCCAACAGTCTAGTTATTTATTTTTCAAAAAGAAATGTTTCCAATAAAGTTCTTAAATATATATAAAATGTAAAAGCTTATTTTTATGTATGACAGAGTAAACATTTTTTTTTTTGAAGTTGGTGTAACAATAATGGTTTTGTTTGATTGGTGTTGTACTGAAAAAAGCTTCCCATTTGTGAAATGTACAATTGAGTGCAGTGTCGGGTCAAGTGAAAGAACACTTCACTGCCCACAATTATGCCTGCTGTTGAGTGACTGCGTCTGCTCAGGTGTGGTCAAATATTGAAAGAAATTAAAAAACTGGCTATATTAACATTCCAATGGATCATGTTTTCAAGTGGTACTTACAGTTAAATAGAGAAATGATTATTCTTGCTTACTTTTGTAAGTTTGTTCATATAAATTGTAATCTAGCACATCTAATGTAGTTGTTGAATACATTTTAATAGTGTATAACACCAATTTTGACAAAGTTATGACTACACTTTTTGAAATGTGTTGCTGCCATCTAATTCAAAATTACTTTTATTCGTCATAAAAATAATAATTTAATTTAAATATTTATATGTTTACTGTGTTCCATTGTGAATAAGTTAAAGGTTGATGAGTTTCTCAAATCATTGCATTGCACGTTCCAACGTTGTCAGAGTTGAAGTTATAATATGACAACTGTGTTTACTTTCAAGACGGGGTGAGGATCACATCTTTTTTTTTATTATGGTCCTAAACATAAAAACTTAGATTTGAATGAGACATTTTACTATGTCTGTGGGTGTAATTGTGTAATCCAGTTGTGAGATAAAACGTATCTGAATGTGACTTTGCCAAGTCTGGTTGTTTTATAGGCCGTTCTTTTACCACCATATCTCTCGGGAATAGATAATCACGTCCTGTTCCCTGCTGAGCCACTAATGATGTTACAGTGTGGTAAATGTAGACCTTTTGTGAATTTGTTTTTGGTAGAGAGATAAAGGGTCTGCTGGAGTCTCTCACTCAGTCCTGCATCGTGACATCATGGGTTTATTACATTAATATTCTATTATACAGTATTACATTCTTCTTTCTTTCTTTATTGTTTATTTGCATGGGGACAAGTGTTACATAACAAATACAGAACACTATAACATTTACAATCTTAGCTAGTTTGCAATTCTCGTCCCCAGATGGGCTTTTAACAATATAAAAATATATTATTACAATATGCTACAGTGTAGTGTCAAACCCAAGGCCCATGAGCCAATATGGCCCGCCACAGCATTTTATGGAGCCTGTGACCTCTTTGAAGATGTATTAATGCCTTAAAATAAGCATATGCTGCTTTAAAGCGAGCATTGACCATGTACTACATCTCTCAAAATACATGTTGATTATTTTACCCTTGAAATGGTGCTATCACACCACTGAGTGGAGGTGCACAGGGTTCAAAAGTAGCAAGCAGTTGGCAAACTTTGCCACGTAAAATCTCAATTTTGCTGCATTTTTGATAACTACTTTTGCTGTGGTCCAGTTTTACTAGGAAGTGAGAAGTTCCCGCTCACCAGTCATAAATTTAAGCTGGAACGCCTTAGTGGGAATGTCTCGTTGAAGATGGGGAAATTTTAGGATGTCAGCTATTCACCACAACCCAGCAGTGAGTAAAACTCTACTTTTACTTTTAATAGTATTTTAAAACTATTTATTTAACATTTAGTCAGTCGTATGTAGTACCTTTAAGTTTTTATAACATGACACATTAAAACACTGTTTCTCTGCACAAAATACCACAAAGAACTCAGTTATTGTTTGTTAGCAGATGTTAGGCTTTAAGTCCTGCCTACTCACATTCACACGATCACTGTGCTTTTTAATATCCACGACTAAATATAACTAATTATACAACAAAAATAATACAGTATCTGAACCCACAGCATTATGATCAATAGAAGTTTGAGTCAAGTTTTGAAAGTGTATTTTTATTTTTAGCAGCTGGTGATGTTAACCTGGCCTTTGGACTTGCATTGCAGCCAGCCTACAGAGGGCATTTGAACTGTTTTGACTTTACCTATTTTTAGCCACTTTCTTAAATCTAGTAATTAAGGTGGCGATTTAAACATATCTGTGTCACTCTTTGTTTCTGCTCGTGTTTGTTTCCTCCCACCCAATCATACTCGCTCCACCCCATCAGCAGGCTTGTCCCCTTGGTGGGTGTGTGCGCTGTCACCAGAGGTATTGTACTCACCAATACCAAGCCACGCTTTACAGTACTTGCTGTGGCAAAGTTCCCACTGATCCCTTTGAATAGAAAACCCTCTGCTGGGCTCGTATTCACAGGCGTTGATCCCCCCTTCAATTGATGTACAGTAAATGTATACCCCTTTCATTATCCTTTTTCTGCTGGAAAGACGACCCCTCCTCTTTTTTGTTTTGAACTAGATGGAGCAAAAAAAAAAAAAAAAACATGCATAGACCACATTCTAGGGCTAAGGTGAAACATATGGGTCTACCATGAGGACAATGGTCTTATTTTGACCATGTCTCTCTCACTAATGAGTAAAAAAGATAGACATTCAAAACAGCCTTGATGCAGATTCTCACCAGACTATAGTAGTTTATAGTTGAGTAAGTAAATAAGTAAAACTTTATTTATACAGCACATTTTAAGATAGGGATCGCAAAGTGCTTCAACAAACACAAACAAACAAACAAACAAATAAAAATAGACAGAGCAAATTTAAGCAAATGCAGATTTTAAAAGATAAGTTTTTTAACTGAGCTTTAAAGGAGTCCTCAGTCTGCTGATCTTAAATTCATAGTAAGAAAGTTCCAAATCCTTGGAGCCACAGACGAAAAAGCTCTGTCTCCTTTAGTCTTTAATTTTGTCTGAGGAACAATCAGCATGTCTTTTTCACAAGACCTCAGAGCCCTGACAGGAGTGTAAAAATGTAAAAGTTCAGAAATGTAGTGTGGTGTCTGACCATGCAGAGCTCGCCAAGTCAAAACCAAAATCTTGAATTTCACTCGATAATGAACTGGGAGCCAGTGAAGTTGCATTAACAGTGGAGCCACATGACAAAACTTAGAAGATCTCGTCAGGAGTCTGGCAGCCGCATTCTGCACAGACTGTATCCGGTCAAGTGAGGTTTTATTTAGGCAAGTATACAATGCATTACAATAACTTAAACGAGATGAAACAAAAACATGAAGTAAAATTTCCATTTCTGAACGAGACACAATGGGGCTGAGCTTTGCTGTATTTCGTAGAGGGTAGAAACAGGAAC